TTCTTCTTCTTCTTCTTCTTCTTCTTCTTCTTCTTCTTCTTCTTCTTCTTCTTCTTCTTCTTCTTCTTCTTCTTCTTCTTCTTCTTCTTCTTCTTCTTTTCTCTCTCTCTCTCTCTCCCACCCTCCCTCGCTCTCCCTCTCTCTCCCTCCCTCTCTCTTCCTCCCTCCTTCCCTCTCTCTCTCTCCCTCCTTCTCTCCCTCCCTCCCTCTATCTCTGTCTCTTCAAAACAACCATTGTTGGAAGCTGTATTTGAATTCAATCTACTGGAGCAGGTGTTTGAGAAGTGAGATAGAATAGGCAACAGTTTAGGAATATTAGCATATGCGGAATTTAGCTTTTCGTTGTACTGTGACATGACAGTGTGTCTCTCTTCACTGGAACAGGATGCCATAGTTGTGCAGTTGCTTAAATACTAGTTTTTCTTTGAGTATGGCTAACATTTGTTATGTTATCTGTAAAAGGCCTGGTTGCCTCAATGATCTAGCCACCTTACCTTATTTTATTTGAAACTCTTTTTTGTAAGGGCCAAAGTCTATTACAAGGATGCATAACAATGGGCATAAAGTAGAATTTCTAAATATAATATCCCCTTAAATAAATAAAACCAAACAAGATAAAAGATGCAGCTAAAACTTCCATTAAATCGGATGTTTCTGTGACACTTTAGAGATTCTTTGTCACTGTTTTGCCTTATTCTTGCAATAGCTGATATATCCTGGTCGTCATTACAACGGCTGTTATTTAAAAAAACAATAACAACATATTTCTGATACAATTGCTTTTGAGTGTATTTCAGCTGAGATATTTGAAATAGAGCTCTAAATTCATGGCAAAATAAAATACAATATGGAAGATTATTTGGTGTAGCAACATCATCAAGGAGATGTATTTTAATATTATGGAGTGGGGCAGTGACCTAGAGGTGGAGCTCTCACCTCCCAATCAGGAGGCTGTGAGTTCTGTCCAAGGTAGCGGCAGGTATTTCTCTGGGCACAATGAGTAAAATATCAGCTGTGAACTCTGCATTGGCGACAGGAAGGGCATCTGGCCAGTAAACACTCAGCTCCATTCAGTTGCCCCGACTCCACCCCAATGCAAGGGATTACGGGGGTCATTAAGAGACAAAAAAAAAATATTATAAAGAAAAATGTAAAAATACATTTTATTTATGTAATTACAGGGCGGATTATAAAGGAAGCAAAAAATCAGCAATAAAAGCCTGTAGTTTGCTCACAGTTAAAATCTTGGTTACATTTCAGTTCCATGTAGCTCTAAACAAACTTTCTTTGCTCTATGACATAACGGTGAATGGAATTAATGTACGAGGCTTGAACTAAAAAGATTTCTGGAAACGTGTCTCCATCTGAGAGCGAAAGTCCCTATTTTATTCATAGCATTAACAGAGTACTAAACAAGCAACTGTGGCTGTAGAGCTTAAAAGCTTTTACTTACAGTCTGCGATCTACAAGTAGATCAGAAGAAGAATATCTAAGAATTTAAATCTGTTGCTTAATTCAGCACTAAATCCTCATTTCTCAGTAACCACAGATGCAACTTTCGCCTAATGCCTCTTCCCTATCCACACTTACAAGTACCCCCTTAAAACAAACTGGGAAATCGATGGTCTTTAGATATTCTTAGACTTTAATTCCTGTTCACTCCCAGGAGTAGAGACGAGTCCTACAACATCTTTCTCTAATTTTGTGTCCAGGATAAGAGCGGACGTCACTTCTCTTAACCCCCAGTCCCAGGAAGGTCATCTGGAAGGTGATTTCCAATAATTCAACAGTGTTTTGCCTATCTTGGCAATTTCTAGTTGTGTGGGCCTCAAACCCCAGAGTTCCACAGTCAGCATAGTCCTCAGTGAGAATTCTGGGACTTGAAGTCCACACACCTAGATATTGCTGTGGTGGTAATGCACTATTCTAGTAGGAACCAGAATGAAGAGGTTTCTCTTATAGCAATTGGAGAGATCATGTATTTTCTATGCTTCTTCTAAAGCGAGCTGAAGGTTGCTTTGATTCTCTGCAGCAGGTTATTTTTTTTCTTCCTGTATATTTGACCAAAACCTTTTGCTTCCCAGGTTTATCTCTGGTGGTGGGGCTCGTATTGTACATCTCCACCATCAATGATGAAATGCTCAATAGAACCAAGGATTCAGAGACATACTTCACTTACAAATATGGCTGGTCATTTGGTTTTTCTGCCATTTCTTTCCTCCTAACTGAGGTAAGATGAGCACTTCGGACATCCTATGGAAAGTACATATTGTTGTCGCCTGATCAGAAACTTGGTAACATACGTTTGCTATCTTTTCTGTATATTTTTTTAGGGGCAAAGAAGGGACGAGGGGCCAAGAGGACTGGCATTGCCCTTGTATATTCCATTGCAATCACGTTGTGCCAATTTTTGATTGCCGTTCCTTTAAATCAGTGGTTCCCAAACTTGGCAACTTTAAGACTTGTGGACTTCAACTCTCAGAATTCTCCAGCCAGCAGAGCTGGCTGGAGAATTCTGAGAATTGAAGTCCACAAGTCTTAAAGTTGCCAAGTTTGGGAACCACTGCTTTAAATTAATAACAAAATAATTCCATCACAGCAGTCTCCCCTCATCTGAACACCTTGTTGTCCATATCTGATCAACAAGCCCCATAATTTTCAGCAACAGCCATACTAGCCGGAGAATTCTAGGGTTGCAGGTTATATGTCAGAGGTCTTCCATTTATAAAATAGTTGACTCTAACATTCAGTGTAACTCAGGCCTGTTTAGACTCCAGATTTTTAATAGTTGTGGAAACCATTTTGATTATAGCAACACAGGTGGGGGGGGGGTTTCTTGCTTCAAAATAAGGTAAATTAGCTTTACCGATGAAATTTTCTTCCCTTCCACCCAATATGCAACAGAGTCGTACCCTATCATTATGTAACTTATCAGTAACATCAAAATCAAAAATTGTGAAGTTCATACATGTGCCGCACTGTGAAATATTTTTAGAAATTTATTTTGAACTCTAATGAATGCTCAGCCCACTTAGGTATATCACAGCCCTGTCTTAAATGTTTGTTCTGTTATCTGCTTATAACAGGTAACTCCTCTTCAGTTCCAAAGCATATTTTCAATACAGATTTGTGATCCATACTGAAAAAACATTTGAAAACGATACTAGAGAAAGAGCATTTTCCCTGAGTGAACAAGAGGGATCAGGCAATAGACAAATCAGTAAATTGAGCTAAAGTAACAAATTGTTCTATACTGCCAGGAATTAATTAAGTTGTGCCCAATTCCTGTATTTACCTGTTCAGTTGACATAACCTCTATTCCATCTAAGCAGTTTATCGTAGTTTTCTTGAACACCATGTTTTCAGGTCTTGATTACTTCAGCTTGATTCCTCTAAATGAGATTTTGTTCCCTTGTGATTATCATTTGAAAGAAAGAAAAGCTGGTAAATATATTGGGCCTCCCTCTTATATGGAGAACGTTTTAGGAGTCTTCTTTTGAAGGTGCAGCTCATAATCCTATGCTGCCTAAAAGGGGTTGAAAGAAATTACAGAGTTGAAACTGAATCCCAGCAGGAAAGGATAGTTTCCGAGAATATTACTATATTCTAGTAATACAAGAAAAAGAAGAAAGAATAAATCAATTATTTTGTCTTCTCAAAATTGGAATCCTAATAAAGTGTTCTCCCTCTAAGCTATCCAGTTGGGTTACTGTCATTCTTAGCTACCCCAAATGCCTTGAATTAGAAGCCAAAAGAAAAGGTCTATCTCCGTAAACATCACAGGTTTCAAAATTGCTTATTGATTTCGAAGACCTGCAAAGGAATATTTTTGTCAGACGAAAGTGTGGACCAGTGATTGATGGCTTTTCTGTCAATAGCAAATGAATTGGTACTTGATGTTATATTTTAAACACAAAGTAGTTTGACCAGCAAATGTTTCCCACAGATCTGCTCCTTTCATTGAGAAGAGTTCTAATCATGGCAGATTGTGAGAAATGGCATTGTTGATGTTGAAAGATGCATGCTTCCTTTCTCTCTTGCAGAGCGCAGGTGTCATGTCCGTTTACCTCTTCATGAAAAGATACACTGCTGAAGAGATGTACCGGCCACACTCTGGCTTCTACCGACCTCGTCTTAGCAACTGTTCCGATTACTCAGGCCAGTTCCTTCACCCCGAGGCATGGGTGCGGGGACGCAGCCCTTCTGACATCTCCAGCGATGCCTCCCTCCAAATGAACAGTAATTACCCGGCTCTGCTTAAATGTCCTGATTATGACCAGCTGTCCTCCTCCCCATGCTGAAGGACAACACCCCTCTTGCTTTTTAGGGAACAAAGTGACAATGGAGGCCGTGGGTCCTAAATCTGCACTTTTCTTTTTCTAATGAATGATATTCTTCTTACTTAGAAATGGAGAAGGTTTTCCTGCCCATCCCAGCAATGCGTGTAGGAGTAGTCAATAAACTCTAGTGAGGCCTTTGATCCTGCAACTGATCCTTATGCCAGATCCTTGGAGATACACAATACCTTGAGATACACAATAGCTCGAGATACACAATAGCTCGGGCAAAGAACCCCACCTACTGTGAAAATCTGTATATTGGAAAGTTGGTTGGGCAAGGGGAGTTTCTTGGTTCACTTTTAGCAGAAATGCATTATCGCCCTAAGGAACAGATGATAATGCCTGGTGAATTTAGAAATTCACATCATTACTTAGTATATATAAAAATTAGTATCTCGTTACAGGTAATTCATAGTCTAAACTAAACGTGTATTTCATTTCCTCTTTGCATATCATTATCCTAGAAGATTGAAGTGTTCACTGGGAAACACAATTAACTCCCATCAAGAATCACATTCTAATTTGGCAGCTTCTCAACTAGATCAAATCTTTTGTTTCTAGAAAAGCAACATCTTAACAATAAAGTGCCTGATGCTGTGTGAGTATAAACAAACCTCTTGTTTTCAAATCACCGTAGGTTTGTACTTCTAATAATACGTTTATGGCAGATCAACAAAATTTTCTTATTCTGTTGTAAAAACTGACAAGAGATCTGATGCCCAAAGTGCAATTTAGTAGTGTGGCTTTTGTCAATTGTGCTATTTCCTTTACTTTTAGTTCCCCTGCAAAGGAATCCAGGGGACTGCTGGATTGTCCCAGCATTCAGATCAGATCCTACATGAAGAAAGTTTGCAGAAAGGGGAGGAAGACTAGGGTTACATGTTACACTAAGGATCTATTTATACACAGTGTATTATACATATACGTACTGTGCATATACTATGTGTCCACAGTGCATCATCCACGGTGCATATATATATATGCATTGGGTAATATAGTTGTACCAGCTTTTGTAATAATTCTACACTGCTCAGAGGGTTACTTCAGACATCCAAATTCCAATCTTCTGATTTTTCACTGTGCTGAAAAATCTGTGATGTTCAACATTCAGGCATGTCAAAGTAGCCCACAGCCCACCCCCCACAGGCCATGTCCACCTGGTCCCACAACAGCAAAAATAATTCTGATATGTCATGATACAGCCCACAAAAATTGGGATTCAATTTTTTTACTACCGGCTCTGTGGGCGTGGCTTGGTAGGCGTGGCAGGAGAAGGATACTGTAAAATCTCCATTCCCTCCCCACTCCTGGGGGAAGGATATTGCAAAATCTCATTCACACCCCACTCTGGGGCCAACCAGAGGAGGTATTTGCCGGTTCTCTGAACAACTCAGAATTTCTGCTACCGGTTCTCCAGAACCTGTTGAATTTCACCCCTGCTCTAGCTAAATTCTAAATTTTGGTTCATGTTATCTTAACCTATAACCAAAAGCAGATGAAATATCCAGACTTCCCTTTTCTGGAAAATACTTAACAGTGATGGCCACTTATTTCCCTTGTACACTATTAAAAAGTTAAAAATAATTAGACCCGGAAGCAAGGTTACTCGTGTTCCTCACCTACCACAGGGCCATGCGGCAAATGTACATATAAGCATTCCCATTTACTCACTGTGTTTATCGATGGCTTTTGTTCACTGAATGTGTATGCAATAATGACCTGTATCTTACAGCTGTACCTAAATATTGGAAGATTTTAGTTCTCCAAGTCTAGCAAGCGAACAAAAAATGGGAATTATGCTCTCTTGATAAATGTTGAAGCTGCCCAGAGTCACCTATGTATGAGTTCAGCGGCTACATAAATTTAAAAAATAATAAATTTAAGCTATAGTACTCTGTGCACTCTAATCTGAGCATGTGCCATGAGCACTAAGGAAAGTAGTTTACTACACTTCTAATACAACCTTTGATTAAGTTAATCTCTCTCTCTTCTGTCTCCATATAATGGCAATATGTCTGTATTCATCTGACAGCTTATTTTATAGGACATCCACTTGCTGTTCCTGATAATGCAAAGCGATTCCTGATAAGGCAAAGTGACGCTATTCTCTTTTCATCCAGGAGAAGCAAATAGAACCACTCCAGCCTAAGTGGAAGAAACCAGCTTTGTTTGTCTGTTTGCTTATTTGTTAGCAAGTGGCTTTTTTATGCGACTTCAGTCAAAGGGAATCAGCATGCTCTAAAAAGTGCTGTATCCATGATAATAATTCCACAGCTGGTTTTGTTTTAAATTAATAGTATTTTATGTACATGTTAACATGAGTAAATATTCTGTTTCTCTCAAACTGTTCTGTATTCTATGCTTTCTTTTTTTCATGTTCAAGTCACAGTTGTATGTTCTATGTGGCATGTCTGTGTTTTCTGCGATTTTTAAGACTGGTTAAGGAGTTAAGTAGAAAAATCTCAAATTAAGGTGCTGTTTAAAATGAAAAGACGTTTCAGCCGGGAACAGTTTTGATCATGTCTGGTATAGATGTTTTCCTTTTTTTCCTTCTGGATAGGTAATGCAACTTCATTTTAGGCTATTTCACATATAAATCTTAGCCACATATGTCATCAGCCTTAAACTCAGTTAAGAGAATCTGGCTTCTCCATTGAATTTGCTTGTCAGGAGGCCAGAGGAGGTGATCACATGACCCCTGGACACTGCAACCATCATAAATATGAACCAGTTGTCAAATATCCAAAGGTAAATCACATGACACTGGGGATGCTACAACAGTCATAAGGGTGAACTTATGTCTTGTTACTTTTTTCTGTGCCATTGTAACTTCAAACGGTCAGTAAACGAACTGTTGTAAATCAAGGATTACCTGTGTTTCCTTACCACCAACCTTAAGCACTTGGAAACAAATTCATTGTAATCATTTGGGTATATGGAATTTATAATTTTGGAATATAGTAGTGGATGACAAACTAATTTACAAGTATGCCAGTGAAAAGAAGCTGAGCTGAGTGCTAATGGGGTTTAATCATATATTTCAGGGATTAATTTTACACTGCAAAAACTATATGCCTCTACTCCGATTTTCTTTCAGCAACCTTCAGTTTCAGAGTAACAGGCAATGGATTACCATGTCCTCTTTTTTTCTCATGGTAAATGTTTTTGTTAAAAAGCTGCTTACTCCCCCCCCCCATCCTTTTTAAATATATCATTGCACAGTAGTCAAGCTCTCTAGTCCTTATTGTCATGGGAACAAGAAGAAGGAAGCTTGCTTCATGGCTCAGTATATACTTGGTAAAAAAACAAAACAAAGGAATTATCTTCCTCTGATGATTGCTAAATTACAATTCCCAGTAGTCTCAGCCGATATACCTAACAGTAAAGGTTACTTGGACTGGTAGTTCAATAATGCTTGATGACCAACACACACATGGTAGATTTGATTAATACACTAGGAATAGTTCTGTTCTTTTGATTAATAAATGTTTATGGAAGGCTATATTTGCCTAGGACAATAGCATGAAATGTGATTCATGTTCTAAAAGTCCTTTGTAAGCAGGCAAAACTAGCATGTATCTTGAGATTATTTTACATCTTATTATGTGAATTATACTATCCATAATCGAACATTCTGCTTAACTGCTGAAAAGACAGATCCTCAATCAGTAAATATATCCTCAACTTTTTTTCATAAAAAGCAAATCTCCTGAAACAGCTGGAGGGCTGAAAAGGAGCAAAATATAAGTGTCTGTCTGTCTGTCTGTCTGTCTGTCTGTCTGTCTGTCTATATCTAGCTATCTAGCTATCTAGCTATCTAGCTATCTAGCTATCTATCATCTATCTATCATCTGTATAAACTGGGACCCTGGGCAAAGAGTGAATTTAGGATGTCTAATTGTAGCTGTTTCATATAAGAACTACTTAGTCTAAGCAAATATACTCCTACATAAGTTAGCAGACTTACTACAGTCCTGCAACACATTTTCAGAATAAAAGTATTAAGCCTTCCTATATCAGATTCACCTTCTTAAATTCAAATTGAAGGGCCTTTTAAATTTGAGTTTTAAGTTTTTGGCTTTTCTTGTGCATCATTCCCAAAAGTTTCCTAACAAAAGTCTTTTTTGGTAAAGACTTTACTATACATTTAGATTAATGAAATAAAATACTTCGAGAAATTCCCTCATCAACACAAAGTTGTAATTTCTAACTCTCAATGGGAAATCTCCACAATTAGGGGGTTAAAAGCCAGAGCTTGTGTTATTTATTAGATTGACATACAGTACATCCCATCTATCTATGTATAAGTACTCTGAGGAGAAATTAAGTCATTTGATAAATGCATATCTTTCTTATAAATGAAATAAATTGCTTTTATTGCAATTTAAAATGTAATGGTATATTTGTTCCCGCATGATTATGAGGCCATTTTCCTGAACTCTATTTACCCTCATTGATTGGGGTTCCCAAAGAGCTATGGAAACAAGCCACAGGACTGCATTGCATAGCCATAAACTTAGTCTTACATGTATATCTCACTGGACACCCTGGGAGTTATTTTGACTTAAGCATATTCAATTAATTCCTCTTTGTGAAGAGTGTGAATGTATCAGCACACCTGTGCCATCACACATTTAGTACATTAAAATGACATTCGTTTATTTTTGGCTTTACAAGCTTTAAATTTAAATCAGAATTTTAACCCATTACATATGAATTGTGGTTTATTCAACAAACTGGCTAAGAACTTTTTTTTTTAAAAAAATTGCATCATGTTTATATTCTCCAAATCAATCAACTCTGGATAGTGAACAATAAAACAATAAACACTCCACAGTACAACACAATGTTCCGAACTCAGAGCAACATAACTAAAAATGGCTCCCTGATCTCCATCTAGACAAATCAAATGCCTACTTCAAAAGAAGAGTCATCCAAGCCTTCTGCACTGCCAAGAGCAATGATCCCAGCCTTCTCTCTGGAGGCAGTATCGTGATTGGGCAGCTGTTGTCTTTATAGTTTAAGTATTTCCAATTTTTTGTGTGATAAGGAAGTGTTGGAAGAAATGTCCTTCTGGGTTCAGTTCCAAGTGGGGAAGAAGACATTGGAAACATGGAGGCTGTTTGGAAAGATGGTTTAATGGTGGACAGGATCACATGGCTTGAGCNTCACATGGCTTGAGCTCCTGAACAGAAAAGTGGGATCATATGCTTCCAGATGTTGGGTGAAGAAGAAAAAAAGGCGGAGATGCTAAAAGTCCCTGGTTTTATGCCCTCTCTTGGGCCCTATCCCATTCCTGTGTAAAAATGCATTCCGATTGGTGGTGAGACTCCCAGGGGGTGGTGCAGGGGCAATTCTGTAGGCTGTGTTTTGAGTCCAAGTTTGGTTGGGTATTGCTTCTTCCCAGGTGTCCTGTGATGAAATGGGTAAAGGGCTAATACTATCATACCTTAATCCCATCACCCCGGAGCTGAAGGGAGGGGAGATCTTTGTTATCTGGAACAGACTGGCTCAGGCCTTTTAATGGTCCATTGACAAAGGTGGGGGCTATTAAGAGTGAGTTGAGTTGAGTTGAGTTTATTATATTTCTATGCTGCCCTATTCCCCGGAGGGGACTCAGGGCGGCTCACAACCAAGTCGGGGGGGGGGTACAAATAAGGAAAAAAAGAACACGAACAAAACAATACCACAATTTAAAACACTCAACAACCATACCATTCGAGGGGGGGACAAAAAACTCATTAGCGTGAGTTTGTTTCCTGCCTAAAAATATGTTTCTCCATTTCTTGTCCAAGGAAATATAATATTCTGCCTTTTCAATATTTCCCAGGATATTTTCTAGGAGAAGGGTGGGTTTTAACTTCCTACAGAAGGAAGGATGAAGGGAGAGAAAGAAAGAGAAAGAAAGAAAAGAAGGAAAGAAAGATGGTGCCCTTGTCCCTTTTCACAAACAGCCCGAAACAATCCCCTTCTTTGCTTTTCTTCTTCTTTGTTTACGTGCATGACTCAGGGAGAATCGTAATTATTAGCTGTACCTGCTGGGTCCGGCAAAGAAAGGACCTGAGAAGTTCTCCAAAGGATGAGGCAGTGGAAATTCTAAAGTGCTACTAGCCTTGAATAAGAAGTTGGCATGTCTCCCCATGCACCATGCATGCTGCCTTTTGCAGCAAAGGTTTCAGCTGAAATATTCATGATCTCCATAGCTGGAAAGCCCCATCAAAAGGCTCTTCTATTACTAACATTTTTGAATTGGGCAGCTTCAGAAGTCTTTGGCATAACAA